CCCGCGAGCCAGGCGCTGCGGCCGCCCCGGGAGACAGCGGCCGGCCGCTCGCCCGCCGGCCCGGACTCGGCTTGGAAGAGTCTCGTCTTTCCCCTTCCCCTGTCTTGTTTTGGACGCTTTCTTCCTATCGCAGTCCTGTCCTTAACTTGGGTTTCTTATCTGGCCGGACAGTAATATTTTCTCAAGTGCTTCTTGCTTAACCTCCTCCCCCCCCCACCCCCCAAGCGAACAGTTTATCCTTTCCCACTTTTCCATGATTGCCCCTACTTCACGCCCTTTATGCTTTTCGCTGCTCATTGGGTTCTCTTAAACAGGACCCCCCCCCCCCCAAAAAAAAGAAAACCACACAACTTAATGGATTAAAGCCCTGTTCGTTTTATAAGTTAAACTAACACAGGGGTAGTTTCCTTATGGGTGACTAAAGATCTTTGTGTAAAAACAGCGTTCATATGTTTTCTTTTTAAACTTTGAAAACATTTTGCCATTTTGACAATTTCTAGCCATCTTGCCTTTATTAGAACATTATGTTTTTGAGAGAGTGGAGGGGCTAATGGAGGAGGTACTGTGGTTTCGCACTAAACGTTCTATATTTGTCTGTTTTGCTTGCGTTTTAAAAATGTTTTGAGCTGGCTGCTCCTTTTTATTGAGCTGAAAAGTCTGGGGACGCTGGATGTAGGAATGTTCTACTGTGTAGGTTGGCCCCAGTCGGGCAATATCCAATAGTTTTTAAGACTTTTCTCAAAAGTACCAACTGTTGCAAATATCTAGTCCTTAATTAGGCGATAGCTGAGCTTCATCAATGACTTTAAGTTAGAGTGACTTTTTCATTTTTTTCCTGTGCGAGGAGAAATACTAAGTCTATCCTAGGTAAGTGAATTAGTGGGTGGAGCATAACTAGTTGGCAAGCGTAAACTGCCAGTCATGTATCAGCAGTTTCATTTTTGGCACATTATGCTTTCTGTCATTAAGTTAGAAGAATTGCTGAATTTCCTTTGTTCAATTTCTTTCACGACGGTAAATGGGGATCTTTAAGGAACTTATGCCTTGCAGAATGTGCTGGTTTTCTTGACAGTGTCCATTAATCAGCATGTCTTCACATGTAGTAAGATGTACAGCAGGTTTAACGTTTCTGTCTTCCTCAACTGCATCTATTTTTGGCACTTTGGTTCTTTGAAGATAGATTAGCACAAATCTGACAGCTCTTTGGAAGTAGTTCTTTTCTTAAAGATGTGTGCTTGTGAAGAATTAACAGGCTTTTTTTTTTCTTTAGAAAATTGTTCAGATGTCTTCTTGTTAGAGCCGTGACTTCTTACAAACTTGGAATGAGGGTCTTTAACTTTCAGTTTACCAAGGAACAAATGTGACTGACCAGTTAGAGAAGAACGTAGGACAGAGAGCAGAGAGAGATTTAATGTGCAGTACTCAAGTGCATGTTTAACATCATTGTTTTACTTATTAAGTCCTGGGTGATTGTATTTATTATAGATGTGCTATTCAGTGATATCTTTGTTATTATTATTTTAAAACTATTTTATGTTCTTTTCCTTAAGTTTTTGCTGGTTGAAGTATTAGAATTGTTTGCATGGTGTTTTTTGTTTGTTTATTTTGGTCATAGTCTTTCAGTGTCTTAAGCATGCATTCAAAATAGTGATGTTTTTTTTTTTTTTTAATTTTTTTTTTTTTTTTTCGAGACAAGGTTTCTCCCTCCTCAGTGCTGGGATTAAAGGCGTGCGC